CAAAACCCCTTTGATACAGTAAAGTTAAATTGTACAAACCCTCACTGCATCCAGATGGCTTACTGTGCAGAAAGAGAAGCCATATGATGCAACTGAAATGGCTTCACGAGCTTGACATAGGATGTGCACTAGCCTGAATGGTCCTGCCAAAATTTGCCACCTTGTGCTGTACTGAGAATTCAGTGAATATTTTAAAAAGAAAGACATTTACAGACTGTGCTGGGGAAACATTCGGCAAGGTGTCCAAGGCCTCCACTGCCATTGTATCTTTTCTGGAGCTGGAATGCCGTAGACGGTGCAGGTGAGTACATGCCGGTTTTTACGAGAATAAATGTTTGGTGAAGAGGCTTCTTTCTCAAGGATTTGTGGAGGAACTGAAATCAAAATTGTGATAAAGTATCAGTCTTGTTAATTGCTATTTTGGGATGACTGCTTGTGCCCCTTCTTTTCAATTCTCTACTTACTTATATCAAAACCCCATATTGCCAACTCTCTCCCTAATTTCGTGCTGCTGCTACTGCTTTCAGTTATCCATATTCCTCTCTTTGGAAGAATTACCTTAAATCCCAGAAACTTTTAAGTATACTCCCATATTGCCCAGTAGCTACAGATCTTTCAAAAGTATACCGGTAGTTTTAAAACATAAATTCAAAGTAAAATTAGCAATAAAAATAAAAAGAATATAGATCAGAAAATCAAAGTAAAGAAAGGAGATTAATGTATCTGCAGCTTTCATATAATATTTAGTTCTATCCAAGAGAAAGAGAAAATGGCCTAGCACCACTCAACTCCCCCAGTCCAAACTTAGCATGTCATGCTTGTGTAACGTAACATGGCAAAATTAATCCGGAGCCAGCCAAATTACACTCACAGATGGAGAATGAGAAAAGCACGTACTACAGACCCAAGGAAATATGTTGATGTAGACATATTTTTGTGTTACATGCTTGCGGTAGTGGCACTGGAGGCTTTAAGCCTTTATCTCTTTATGTTTAAACTGGGATGCCTGATGCCCATAGCAGCCTTCCCTCCATCACAAATGACACCAACAGGATCTTCATCTTTCCAGCCAGAATTTTGATCCACCCCAGACCTTGGTTCCTACAACAACATGTTTAAAAACCACCCCCAGATGCCAAAAAACATGAACAATATGCCTAATTTGGCAGACTTGGGAAACTGTTTTTATGAAGTACAACATATCAGGAATAAAGATAGATTTGACTGCTGAGTGCCTGAAGCCTTTCTCCTCGCAAGCTATTTTCTCCTCACCATTGACCACCAGTTGAAGGTTAATGCTCTTCTCCAGTCCAGCCAACCCATTCTTCAGGACCAGCATATAAGACCCAGCGTTTTGCTCTGCCACATCCTTGATCTGGAGGGAATATTGAGATTGCCTGTTGGAAATTAACTTTCCATCCTTAAACCTGGGCAGAAGCAGAGAAAGAAGGTATGTATATAGCTTAGGCTTCTAAAAGGTAGCCATGGGGCTTCAGCCAATGAAATGAGGAATTTCTGAAAAATATCCTTTTCACTCATTTTCCCTTAAGAAAAAATTACACTAAAATCTACCGAGAAGCACCATCAATGGCCAAAGAAAATGTTACATATATACGGGCTGATTCTTAATTGGTTTACTGCTATTTTGGGGGGGGGAGGGGGGAGAACTATTTATGGAGACTTTCTCAATCTGGCACCCTCTCAGGCTGGCTGAGAATTCTGGAAGTCAAAGTCCCAACACCTTTGGAAGGCATCAAATTGGAAAATTCTAATATCATCTTCCACTGCCACGTGGGAGGGCTACTGAGTGAAATAAGAAGCCTAGGTTATTCTTTTATTTTACATCTGGTCTACCCTGATGGAAATGGAATGAAATTTCAGATTTATCTGAAATTCCTTAAAGCATCTGGGTTTTTTCCCCAGGATCATGTAACTATGGTGCAATTCTGCAAAAACACACAATGAATTGAAGGCATGATAAGGAGCTACTAGCCTCTCTGCTCTCTGAAGTACTTTTTTTTTTTTGCCTTCAAATCTGAAGTGGAGCCTTAACTCTGCATTTTGCATCACTTTATCTTCAAAGGGCCATTTAAAATTTGACTGGCACATACACTATCATCAGGAGGTACAAGATGAACCTGGAACTGTTGCTGCTTTAGTACCAAATTCCATGAAATTTCTTTCAGCAACAAGGGCCTCCAACTTTTAAAAGATGCTACAGAGCGATGCGGAATGTGGACTATTATCTGTGGGTTTGTATATGAGTGTGCATTTATATGTTTGGCAATGGTATGAATAAAGAAAGAGTAATCTCTCCATCACCTCTAATATCTTCCAGAAAAATGGGCTGAGAAGGTTCATGAAAACACTAGCTGTTTCTCTCCCGTGTAAGATACCAGCTTTTGTTGGTAAAGGAGAACCACAGGGAACAAAGATTTGAAAACAGACATCCAAACCTAAATCCTCACATCACAGGAGGCAGTGTCTCTTCTTTTAAAATAGGTATCAGCATAACCCTTTTTGACAATAGTGGTTTTTCTCTTTTCCGATTCCCTTCTCTGCCCCTAAATCCAGAGAAGACTATGTGCTGAAAGGAATGTATTACCACTGGAACTCAGGCTGGGGATAGGCAACCACTTTTACTGGTAGCTTCACAATTTCATCTCCCACTGTTGCTTCTATCACTGGGCCCTTTCTCCATTCCACGTAGATAAATGGCTTCTCTGTAAAATCAGTTGGATAAAGAAGAACAAGAGGGAAAAAAGCAGAATCAAAGTTGTTAAACATGTCAGCTGATTCAAGAGTAGACCTGATTCAAGAGCAGAGATATCTACTCCACAGAAAATTTACAGTTTTATTTATGGATGCAGACCCACTCATTGGATGTATACATCTTTGCTTTTGTACAGACATAAAAATGATCTATAAATTTCACACTGATTAACATTTTATGCCATAAAGACACAGTGCTACACTGGCTGATCTTTCTTATACGTTAGAAATGCTAATGTGCTTATTTATCCTCTGTGAAGCTGCCCAGTTACTCAGATCAGGAGAAGACGACCTTCTGAAGAGGCTCCTAATGCCAGAAACTTCATTACTGAGTACATGAAAAAGGGCCTTCTCCTGTCTGATTCCCAGGCAACAGAATGTGCTACCTAAGGAGGGGTATTTGGTTCCTGCTCTCCTAGTATTTAGGAAGATGGTTAAAAAAATAATCGTGTTTTGCTAAGTTTTTACTGTTAATTAATTGATTAATAGATTTTAGTTTTGATTTTACTGTTATGATTTGTACCCTGCATTTCTTTTTTTATTTGTTGTAAGCTGCCTTAGGTATTAGACTACACAAAAAAGTGGGGCATCAATTTGATAATTAATAAATATTATTTTATCATAGGTTTTGATTGAACGCTTTATTCTTCTTTTGCCAGAACATTCCTGTTCAAGCAAAGAAACATTTTTGAATGGGTACTAGTGAATAATTAATCTTACATATTTCCTACAATGGTGTGGGCAATGTTCTTTGGGCCAAAGATTATCTTCAGCTGTCTATGGTATGCTGAGCAATGTGCCAGTCATAGGTAATAACAGGAAAAAATGGGAATAGTCCAAAAAGCCCATGTTACATTTAATAAATTAAATACATAAATAAATATACCATCTCCAGCTCTGGACAGCTAGATGCTTCCAAGAGGGCCATAAAACAGGTAGATAAGTCTTAACTTTCATACTTTGGCTGCACTGTTACCCAATATGAGTATACAGCATATGAAACCGAAGATATACTGTTTCAGACCCAACCATATGAATGAAAAACATCAGGAAGCTAATATATTCATTGCTTTTTGACATTAAAAGGGGTACTTGATTATTCAAAAAGTCATTGCATTCAGTTGTTCTCTGTAAAGCACCATGCACACAGCTTTCCACTTCTATCCTAGGCCCATGGTAGACAACTGAACAACTTCTAGATATACTAGATACCTAACTAAAGTAAAGTGTATCCTTTACTCAGCTATTAAAAACAAAACAAACAAAAAACAAAACAGCAGTCCTGTACTGATGTATTAATGGTAGGGTTATCTC